TGGATAATTCACTTCCTTATATCCGTTTGAATCAGGTACCGAAGCAGTTACGTGCGTAATGAAGCTTCGGACGTCACTGGTCACGTGACTTTTGCCAAACGAAGCAAGCCAGTGCTTCTGAACCAGTGTGTTGTTTTTTTCGACACACGCTCCGGAGCGCCAGCTTCAAGCGGGCCATCACTAGTTAACGTGTTTAGTCGGCCAGTGGATGGGGCAGTACTCATTGTGGCATCTCTTGTTTCCAGGGTGATTACGGAAACGTGTGGAGGGAGCAGTAAACAGTTGAACACTGGCACCAAGGAGGACGAAGCACAACCACGCATCACGGAAAGGAATCACGGTACAGGGGGAATTGGGAAAGCACACACTGTGGACTGTTGGCACTGTTCTGTTAAATAAACTCACTTTCTCCATTCTAAAAGTCCAGCATTTGGGTTCTCCTCAGCCAACCCTGACACCATTATTATTTAAACCAACTGTTAACTGCATATTTCTGTACAAGTATTATTATTCATATTGCCGCATTCATTGACCTTGTTTATAGGTAATTTCATTGTTTAATCACATTAAAATGTTCCTAATTTAATGTTTAAAAGCACTTGAAAAAGGCAAAATCCCATGTAAAATTAGGGCAACAAACCGTATTTCTATGAGAAAGTTATTTTATGGTATTATTTCGGCGCCCCAGCTGCCGGAATATTACTGTTTTTTTAGGATTTCTTTTTTTACGGTCTACTCTGAATCTGTGATCTGTCTGCAACCACATTTAAAAAGTAACTTAAAATGCATTTAGTTCATTTCTAGTGTAAAAGTCATTTTAGCATCCCCTTTATTAAATATAAACATTATCTAAGAGATAGAATAGAATAGCCCTTTCTTGTCATTGTACGTGTACAACAAAATGTTGAGGTTTAAATTTATCATCCTAAATGTTTATATGCTGATTATATTGCTATATATAAGAAAGGCCTAACTCTGAGTACACTCTGTGCCAAAAAGTGCTGACAGGAAACTGCATGCTTTTGCAGAAGTGTGCTTTTGCAGCTAGAAAGTGAAACCAACTAGGCTTTGATCGAAACTTAAAGTGTGGTATGACGTAGAGAGCAAGTATATAAATAACTAGGCTTTCGTTTGTGCTTCAGTGCTGGGGTTGTGTGTTTTGTCTTAAGGTCTACATATCTGGATATGTAAAATAAAGATCATTTTTTAAAGTAAAAGGACCACTTTTGAGCCGTGTCTTTCTTGGCCCTAAAGAATCCAAAAGAACCTAATTTAATATGGGTGCTCCACTGTCCTGCTCTCCTTGTGTGTGTACGCTACACAATTCAGCAGTAGCCTAACTCCACTTGAAATAACGCGCGAAGTCAGGATGTAGCGTCCAACTCCTTTTAATTAGTAAGTATTTCACAGTAAGTTGTTAAGTTGTTGCACAGCAACAAGAATCACTGTAGTTGCCTTGGACAACTCGTCAGCTGTGAGAGGTTTACGGCACCAATGCCAACCATTACACCCGTTGGTTCCTTGGCTGCTTGCCTTAAAAGAACAAACCACATGGATGAGTGTTGCAACTCCTCTCCGTATAGACTTCCAGAAAGAGAATTTCGTGAATCTCTCACAACCCAGGGACTTGTCCTTTTGACTTGTAACACAGGTGGTAACTTGTGGTCGTATCTCAATGTCTGCGTCTGGGTTGATAAGCTAAAGGTCTCATGTTGCTCGCTGCTTGGCTGTGATTTGTATAGAAATGTTGGACCCGTGAACCAGTTGGTTGTGGTGAGCTGTGAGGCTTGAACGGACCTAGAAGCATGGTCAGCTGGGTTATGCTCCGTAGGTACATACTGTGATATTATTCTGTTATCATATGTTACCTTATATATGTAATCAAAGTAGTTGAATTATGATACTGCTGCTAGATCATATTATACCCTTTAATATAGAGTGTGTGATCTGTATGTAGTTTAGTTCTCATTATACTTTTGAGTTAACAGAACATATTCACATATTAGTTCATTAGATAAAGGTGCATCACTCTGTATCCTTGATCTGCTGGGAATGTGTTACACTGTTTTCTTGACATGTTCTATTGTTGAATCATGAAGAGAAGGAGACTCTGTGTCTA